CTGAAATTAACTTAAAAAATAGCAATTATTAATCCAAAGAGTATAAGAGTAAGTCAAATCACTGTGTTGAGTCTTGGAAACAGTTACACCAACTGCTCTGTTAACGAGACGACGATACATTATCTATTCCATACATAATATACTGTGCATATCGTATCACTTTATTTTACGTCGAGGTGCCTATTAGTTATTCTTATAAGTTATTCAACTGGTTAATCATCAGTCTTTATTAAATTACATAATTGAAATATTTAGAATTATGTATCATAGCAATACTTGAAGAGGGCATTCTTAAAATGTAAAAGGAAATACAACCATGAACTAGGATATGTTATCTATGAAAAAGCACATCATTACATTTGTTACTGTAACACGTTTACGTACGCTTTGTTAACTGTTTTTGTCTTAAAACGCAAAATTATTATCAAGAAAATCCAGAAGCTATGGGGGATGTTTATTCTTGCAGTGACAGATCCATGTATTGTGTAAGATAAGGTGACTGTTTAAAACCGAACCGAACTAGTCCACAGGTTAGCGTGTCCACAACATCATGCCGTCTACGATACAAAATTATACCCACACGTCAGGCTTGTAGCATTAGTTGGAGAATGCAGACTATCATGGTATAACTGTCACCCCTGTGACGTTTCTTTACTCAGTGCATTGGGTGAACGTCGGAATGACTAGCTGTGAGACAACAAGAACATTCTCCCGTAAAACCCAGTCCTTTAGTTTTAGTGGTACCTGTGGTAGTACTATTGATGAATCGTTTCACGCAACATATACAACGCGAGTTATACATTATCTGCTTATAAGAGATTCGAACACACTGGCGTCCTTTAAGAGGGTACCGAGTATAACTAAAATAAGCAGAGCGTAGATGTATAATTATTTCCAAGAGTACTTTAATGATTACTATATACATCCTATGTCTTGACATTTAATTAAATATATATGTATGTGGACAAAAATAGACAAAATAGAAGACATGTTGGGTTGAACTGATCTGATACCGATCATGAATTAGTTTTCGCGTATCTGTTGACCGACTTATTTAGCTGGTTACTAGTGAATGGCTGTGTTATATCTGTCATCATTTAGGCTCATGCGAGGTCCTGGACGGAACTTGACTCAGTGATTTGGAACTAATTACGATATAACCGTTGCCATCCGGACCGCTATTTCTGACAGTTGGGTATTCGCAGTTAGTAATATAGTGAATCAAAAGATATGACGTGTCCAGTATTTAGTGTGATTGGCTATGTGCAAGTTGAATGTGTGAAGAGTACGCCCTATGTCTTTTAACTGCTTTGTAATTGGTTAAGTTTTGATTTTTGATTTAAATCCAAACAAAAAATACACACACGCTGCTTGGGATTTTCGGAAAAATATATTATCCATATTTCAAAGGTTTCTATTCCAATATCATTCTTGCGACACCCCAGGTTTAAATGGCTTCATAGTTATTGAATCGTCAGTAGCACTGTTTAATTGTCAGTCGTGCTGTAAAAAACGTCAGTCGTCCTGGAAAATATCAGTCGTGCTGGAGAGACGTCAGTAGTGCTAGAAAAAGGTAAGTCGCACTTGAGTGTTACACAATGATGATTCCGGAACGAATGAGAAAAGGTGTGGTTCGTAGTAATGTAATTTTCATGTAAGTACATGATTCAAGTAGGTGCCATCTCGGAATCGACACGCAACCAACATCAACATCTAAATCATATGGAAAATGCAGAATCTTATTGCCATTGCAAATGCGTTCATTGCGTGCTAATCAGAAACAAGCATGTACTATTATGTTACTAAGAGGAAGATTTACTATTTCAGACGAAATACATATAAATGTTATTGTGCTTCAAACATTTGAACATTCAGTGGACTGCATTCGGTACAAATATAGATAATGTAATAATGTGTTTTGGCCGTTTGAAAATAATTCAAAGAGGGTGATATGCAAATTATCTAATATCTCTGTATAATTTTGGGCGCTTAACTAGAAATTTTATTTGAAAAAAAGCTTTGACCTTTCAAAAAAATTAAAAATGCTAGCTTATCATTACATTGTGATTTCATCACAACGATATCAACATTGTTTGATATTGAACAGAACACATAACTAAAAGTATAATTTATGCAAAAATATCGAATTATGTTTGATTGTTTTATTGAAGGACTGCGAATACAAACTAATCTTGACACCGTTATATCTTCACGAATGTTTTTTGAATTAAATCGGTTAGCACAAATTTGAATAAAAAGTGTTTATTTTTTCAATTATTTGACCCAACATTCAATCTT